GCAAACCTGTTAAGAACAGTATGTCATATATGCTAGGTCCCTTGGAACATATGCTGTGCAGATGTTTCTTCCCTGCAGCAACTGTGTCAAGCAGCAAGGATGGACCGGCTTCTGGCATTCTATGTTATTTTCTTTTTTAATACAACCCTAGATACTTTTTAATCTTTTAAAAAATATGTTTTTATTGATTTTAAAGAGAGGAGGGAAAGTTGGGGAGAGAAGCATCAATAATGAGAGAGAATCATCAATCGGCTGCCTCCTGCATGCCCCTACTAGGGATTGAGCTCACAATCCAGGCATGTGCCCTGACTGGAATCAAACCATGACATCCTGGTTCATGGACTGATGCTCAACCACTGAGCCACACCTCCAGGCAAGATGGCATAGAATTCTTAAAATGTATCTAAAAATGCAACTATGATTTATGACAAAGGCAATAATAAAATAAAGTGGAGGAAAATTTTTTTCAATAAATGGTGCTAGATGAATAGAATCTTCATATAGGCAAAAAAATTAGCTGATCCTTTATCTAAAACATACACAAAAATAAATTCCAATGGAGTACATGTCTAAACATAAAATATAAAATAATAAAGTTTTCAGGAGAAAATATAGAAGATCTCTGTGACCTTGGAGTAGGCAAATATTTCTTAAACAGGACAGAAAAAGCACTAACCATGACATTTTAAAACTGGAAAAATTGGACTCTTAAAATTCCTCGTTGATGTCAAAAATTACCATTAAGACAGTGAAAATTAAACAATAGTATAGAATGATATTCACTATATATGTGTGTGTACCTCTCTTTCTCTCTCTTTCTCTCTCTCTCTCTCTCTCTCACTCTCTCTATATATATATATATATAGTCTGTCAGAAGATTCATATCCAGAATATATATATGAAAGGGCGAGACCTCAACCTAGAGGCCCTGATGCCCAGCGCTCCCCATGGTCGGTCCTGGCGTTCCTCGAGGCGGGATCCCACCAGCCCGTCCCCGCCCGTCTCCCGGCACCTGCGGCCTTCAGGGAAGGACGCCTATCGAGGGGCAAGGACTGCGCCTTCCATCTTGCCCTGGGTCTTCCATTTTTGGGCAGAGCCATGTGCTCGGTGGGGCTTCTTCCCAGAGGCCCAGGCTGCTGCTGGCCACGCCCAGGATTTCTTGCACTAGCCAATGATAATCAAGGGAAGTGCATGCCATCACTATGACCACATCCTGCGTAATGAGACACCGACTTGCGCCTGGCCTGTCGGCAGGGCCCACAGTCCCCTCTCCTGCCCTAACTCCACCCCCCTATAACCTCCCGTCCTCCCGTCCCATCAGGCTTCGGTCTCTCTGCCACCTGCTGCTGTGCCAGTAAGGAGGGCAGGGGAGCCAGACGTAGGTTTGAAATAAATGACTTTGCTTTTGCATCGGACTCGCTGGCTCCCTGGTGGGCCCTTGGGAATCTTGAAATCTGGGCACAACAATATACATTTAAAAATATTAAAAATTCATGAGAAAAAGACACCCAATCCAATATAAAAATGAACAAAAACACTTTTCATAATAAAGAACATAGAATGGCTAATAAGCATGTAAAAATGGTGTGCAATTTCATTAGTTATCAAGGAAATGCAAAATAAAATCACAATGTAACACCACCACCCACACACAAGAATGGCTGAAATGAAAAAGATGGGGATATACCAAATGTTAATGAGAACATGGAGCAAACACTTTGAGAAACTGCTTGGCAGTGAACAAAGGACACGTTCCAGAACATTTAGGTACTCTATTCTGACTATCCCCAGACTGGAAATAATACATATGGCCATCAACAGTAGAATGGATGGGAAAAATATGATATATTTAGGCAATGGGATATCGAACAAGTAAGTTTGAAGAACTCCCAACTACACACAGGTAGCTGACGTGCAGGGATACGTACTTGAGTTTGTTTTTTGTTTTTTTAAAAGATACAAAAAGAATGTATGCACTATGATTCCATTGATATAAAGACTGTTCATTAAGGTCTTAGTTACTCTTAGGACATGGGGGTAGGGGATATGGAAGGGGAGACGAGCGAGGGCTTCTGGGGTGCGTGCAATATTCAGGCGCTTCATCTAAGTTCCGGTTACATGGGTTTATTCCGTTTTGTGAAAATTCAATTAAAACTGAAACCAAAGAATGGCAGGAATGGATCAGACATTATATTTAAAACCAAAGAGATCATAATGAAGTATATGTCCCCACCCCCTACCCTAAGCCTCGCAGGCACGCACGAACGCACGCACAGAAGCACAAGGAAGTGGACACCTCATTGGCTGGGGTGGCAGACTCCCGGAAGTGGGTTCTTAACACCACCTCTTCCACTTCCGGGCACTCCACCTTCCCGCCTTCCTGCCTCCGGGATCGTGCTGCCTTCCCGCCTAGCCTTCGGACCCCTCCGCCTTCCTGCCTCCGCCGTCCAGCCTCGTGGCCTGGGCCCCTGGACGGAAGCCGCAGGGTAAACCTCGCCCCGGGTGCCAGGAGATCGCCTCCCCACGGACCCCGCCCGCGGCTGTCTTCGCTCTACCGCCGCCATCATGAACATCCGCAATGCTGTGCCGCAGGACCTGATGAACATGCAGCACTGCAACCTCCTCTGCCTGCCCGAGAACTACCAGATGAAATACTACTTCTACCATGGGCTGTCCTGGCCGCAGCTCTCATACATTGCTGAGGACGAGGATAGGAAGATCGTGGGCTACATCCTGGCCAAGATGGAGGAGGACTCCGACGATCCCCCGCATGGCCACATCACCTCCCTGGCAGTGAAGCGCTCACACCGGCGCCTTGGCCTGGCCCAGAAGTTGATGGACCAGGCCTCCCGGGCCATGATTGAGAACTTCGGCGCCAAGTACGTCTCCCTGCACGTCCGGAAGAGTAACCGGGCCGCCCTGCGCCTGTACTCGGACACCCTCAACTTCCAGGTGAGTGAGGTGGAACCCAAATACTACGCGGACGGCGAAGACGCTTATGCCATGAAGCGGGACCTCTCGCAGATGGCCGAGGAGCTGAGGCGGCCGCTGGAGCTGAAGAAGGGCCGGTCTGCGGAGCTGGGCCCCAGGGAGATCCAGGCGACCCCCGAGAGCACGCTTCCGGGATCGGAGCTGCCCCGTCTGCAGAGGAAGAAGCCGGCCACGGGCAGCTGTGGCAGTGACAGCAGGGAGTCCAGCGAGTCCACCGACAGCCCCGGTGCCCAGGACAGCCCCGAAGACTCGGACTCCACCTCCTAGGCCCTGCGTGAGGTACTCTCTCTTTCTATCCGCTTACTTCCTGCTCTGAATCCCGGCACCAGGCCGCGGCCTGCCCAGAGGCGCCCCTTCCTGACCTGTCCCGGCTCTGCTAGGGTTCCCCGGGAAAACCGCCTGGTGGCCTTGGGGCGGGTGTAGATTGGGTTTCGGGGAACCCGTTGCTCACTATTGGACGTTAATAGCACCCCGCTTCATATGCTGAGAGTAGGTTTCATCAGGAAAAGAAACAAGTGTTGATCCGGCCTTTTTCGGGATGAACCGTGTCTCAGGTTACCACGTAGTTAATGAAATACATTTCTTCTTTATATAATTATAACTAATAAATGCAGAAACGATGATAGGATTATAAAATCACCGTTTTGCAACTTTTGATGAATTAATATATCTAGTCAACTGTCACCAATGGCTAGTACTGTTAGGTTAAAGTTGGAGCACTTTTTAATAATTGATCAGACTGACAACACTTCAAGTCACCGAGCAAGTGTCACATCATTAAAAGGGAGATAACTATTATGTGCCTCCTAATGCAATAGGAAATACACAGTAACACCTATGGAATATTCATGCCCAAAGGAAATTTCATAGATATATGTATGAAATTTATTTGGAATCCAAACAAGGCTCTAGATATAACTGCCACTTTCTAAAATATGTTTTTATTGATTTCAGAGAGTAGAAGTGAGAGGGAGAGATAGAAACATAAATGATGAGAGAGAGTCATCCATTGGCTGCCTTCTGCACAGCCCCTAATGGGGAATCAAACCTGTAATCCCGGGTCTTGTGCCCTGACTGGGAATTGAACCCTGATCTCCTGGTTCACGAGTCCATGCACAAAACCACTGAGCCACATTGGCTGGGCTATAATTGCCATTTTTATTTTAAAAAATAGTGGGGCATGATGCAATTGGTCATGTCCAGAAAGAGAATTTTTACAGAAAAAAAAATGACCTGGTTTGTTCAACAAATAAATGTCATTTTTTTAAAAAATGAGGGGAGGGGAAGAAATTATTAAAACAAACCTTAGAGATATATTGACCTAATGCAACCATTGTGGACATTGTTTGCAGCCTGATTTAAACAAAACAAATATAAGACCTTTTGAGAGAACCAGGCAAAACCTGAATATGGACTATATGCTATTAAGAAATTGTTAGTAATTTTGTTAGGTGAGCTAATTTGTATTGTAGTATTATATTTAAAACGTTCTTATCCATTAGAGATACATACTAAAATAATTAAAGGTGAAATAATATGGTGCCTGGGATTTACTTTAAAATACTCAGGCAAAAAAGGAAACAGAAAGAGTTGCTGAGGGGGGAATAGTAAGATTGGCAAGATATGATAATCCTTGAAATTGGATAATGCCTACTTGGGAGGTTCATTATGTTTTTTTATTTTTTTGAATGTGTGACAATTAAGCTAACTGACAAAAACAATTATCATACTTTCTAATACACACTAACACTAAGCAACCACTAAAAAGTCGTTTAAAAAACTTTAAGTTCCATCAAGGAACTTTGTAAACACATTTAAGAATTTCAAGGATCAATGAACTATTGTCAATTTAGAAGCTTTAACTTGTCATTCTAGTCACATCTTTCCCATAACAACGTCAGGTCATGAGTGACATACCCTGCATATAATTAAAATAAATGCTGTCTGATTAATTTACTCATTCATAAAAATTTTTGTCAGACATGAGGTTTAAAGCTTGGTTTACAGAAGTTGTCAGGGCAAGCTCATGTTTACATTGTAGCATTTAAGAATAAATGAACTATATTTTTATACAGCAAACTAATAGCACAATAACCCAGTTTTATTTTCATTCACTTCTGGTTCCATAGATTATAAGAATTTATATAGAGAAAGTTCTTGGGGGTTAGAAAAAGTCTGTTCTTAAAGGAGTTTTTGCATCTGCTTTTAACAACATGAAGGCTTCATAATGACTGGGTTCATTTGGTCTAAAGTTAAATGCAGCAGAACATTCTAAAGAGGAAGATAAAATTAAGCAAAACTTACTCCCTTAAGAGGAGAGTTTTCACATTTACAGCTGTCTTCAGAATCTGGAGGGCTCTGTCAAAACTATTTTATTTAAAATTAACAAACCTTTTTAAAAATGAACATTTTTCAAATACTTATGTAGAAAGCCTTTTGTAATATTGATCTCATATTTTGTGGTTATTGGCTTCTTTTTAGTGTTAACCTCCAGCCGAGAAGGACTTACATAAAATAGCTAATCGGAAATTGCATATTCTCTTTAATGTATTATATATATTATATATCATATATATACACACACAGACACACACACACTAGTATAATTGGATGAATTCAAGAGCACTTAATATTGCCTGTGACAAACAAAAATAACTGCCACCCTTGAAGGAGAAGAGAGAAATAATAAGAAAATCATCCTGGCAGTTAAAAATCTCAGTGTGCAATTACAAATACAAATTCAGGAATGCAGTCAAACCTGGGTTCTCGAATATATTCCATTTTAGCAATTTGGTTCTTGACTGTCAACAAAACTTAGGTTCTCCACGGACAACCCTTTCCTGTTGATACATCAGCATGAAAAAAGCGTCTCTCAGGCCACAAACCAAGGAGAGAACCCCAGTCCCTTTATCTGTGCTAAACCTAACATCTCAGGGTTGTTTTTTTTGCTTGTGTTGCTAGTGAAACGGTAGAGTAGCACAATTTTTTTTTAAATCCTCACCCAAGGCTATTTTTCCATTGACTTTTAGGGAGTGGAAAAGATTGGGAAAGAGAGAAACTTAGTTGCGAGAGAAACACATGGATTGGTTGCCTCCTGCATGAGCCTTGGCCAGGGCCCAGGCTGGGGAGGAACCTGCAACCCAGGTATATGCCCTTGAGGGGAATCCACCAGGGACCCTTCTGTCTGAAAGCTGAGGATCTACCCACTGAACCGAGCGATTAGCACAACTTTAAAACATAAAGAAGCCATCAGGAGTGCTAATGTTGCTAAGGTTGTGAAAGAAGCAATGATCCCAGGCAATTGAAGAGGCAGAGAAACTGTTGTTGACTTGGATAAACGAAAAGCAGTAGTGACAGCATTTTAGAGGCAGTGATTTGTGAAAAAAGCAATGTTACATTCTGACTTCCTAAGAGACACCCCTGGAAGGAGTGCTGAAAGTGATTTGTTTAGTCTAGTAGGGGTGGTTCAGCTGAAGGAGGCTGTGTCCCGTACCGAGCATCACTCTCCCAGGTTGGTTTCTGATTTCTGCTGAGACACCTTCATTGGCCTCATCGAATGTTTGGTCCTCACTGTTCACTTTTGGTCCTTTCTCTCCAGAGGCCTCTTCAGGTCTCAAGTGCTCCCCACCATGTGTGGGCCATTTAAGTAGCAAGGGTATTATTAGTCTGCATAGGTTAACTGTTCTAAAAACTAACCCCCAAATATCACCAGCTTAACACAATAAGAGCTTATTTTTTCATACCACACTCCAATGTGGTGGGGATGTGGAGCGGAGAAAGAAAGAGGGACTCTTCATGAAGTCATTTAGGAATCCATCTAGAAGAGATGTTCTTGTTTTGTTCATAGCCTTTTTGGCAATCTGATGAAGCCTAAGGACCCCTTTTCAGAAAATGGGTTTTAAAAGGCATAAAAATCATACAGGATTACAAAGGAAACCAATTTTATTGAACTATAGTTATTAAACCATTTAAAAATAAATCTGTTACATATGTACTTCTTTATTAGCATACGAAATAAAAAAATCTAGTAGTGGGTCTCCTAATGACTGATATTTCCAAGAAAATTTGAGTGTAAATGATATTTTGAGATACCCCAAATAGTAATATAATATGACAATATCTGATTTTTATTGGTGGCAAAGTCATAAGTATTGTTAATATTGTACATTGGTCTGTACATTCTTATTTCAAGGAAATTCTAAATTTCAGTTGGAGGTTGGTGAAAATGCAGAATTTTTCTTTCAAATCCAAGGTCATGCTTCCCCTAAATTCTATTAATGGATCCCACATTAGGAATTTTGGATTTAGTGATCTGCTATTTTCTAGAATCATGTATTCTTCACTGGTTCATATATGTTCAGCTTGCAAATAAGGGGAGAGAATGCACATAGAGGTTCATATGGGTTTTAAAAGTCAGTCCCATTTCCCAAACTAACTGCAGGAGAGGCTAAGACATGTAGTTTAGCTGTGTGCCAGGAGGAAAAGGGATGAGTCCTGGTGACAACACAGCACAGTTTCTGCCATAATAGGAAACATGCTCGTGTGCTCTGGACTATGAAAAGTTTTGCTTCCATGCCCCGCTAGGAGCACAGGATCATTCTGGTACTTTCTGGTTATCACATGTCACATAAAATTCTGTGAGACTATCTGGGCTGTCTGCTTAGTCACATGACCATATGTTTTGTGCTTTTGCACAAACCTGGGCATAAGAAATTGGGATTCTGCCACCTTGCTGACTTTGTCTCATTAAAGTCTGGAAGAAATAAATGAATCCCAGTGTACAAAATGTACAAATCCTCCTATTCTGAAAATCCCCAAACTTCTAAAGCTTTATCATCCCTCACCTTCATCCCATTGGACAGGGGTTCACTGGTACATACATTAATTGCCGGAATGGGAAAAGGCTACTGTGAAGAAAGAAATAATAGGAAAAAATTTTAAAAGGTTAATATAACAAAAGTATAATCCTGCCTCAATTGTGGTGCTCTCTCCTTTGGAACTAGACTTCAGACACCTATAGAAAAAAAAAATCCTGAAAGAAATAACTTCATTTTCTTTTATCTCTATTCTTGAGTATGGCAACAGACAGTTGCTTAGAGTGATGGTGAGTTGGGCAGTTGGTGAAGGAGACTGGGTCACTTCATCTACAAAATGGTAATAAAGGCCCTGCCTGGTTTGGCTCAGTTGATAGAGCATCAGCCTGTAGACTGAAGGGTCCTGGGTTCAGTTCTGGTCAAGGGCATGTACCTCGTACCTCGGTTGCAGGGTCCCGG